GGGGGGGGGGGGGAGAGATAGATAGAGAGAGAGAGAGAGAGAGAGAGAGAGGAGCCCGGCTGGTGTGGCTCAGTGGTTGAGCATTGACCTATGAACCAGGAGGTCACAGTTCGATTCTCGGTTGGGGCACATGCTGGGGTTTCGGGCTCGATCCCCATTGGGAGGCGCGCAGGAGGCAGCCGATCAAGGATTCTCTCTCATCCTTGATGTTTCTATCTCTCCCTTCCTCTCTGAAATCAATGAAAATAAATTTAAAAAAAAAGAAATCAACGAACGTTGACATCTCTCTTTCCTTCATGAAATGCATCATTTTTAACCTCATTAATTTCATGTAAGCTGTATTTATTCAGTTCTTTTATGATTTATTTATTAAACGGATTGGGGTGACGTGGGTCAACATGAATGTATACGTTTCACGTGTGGGTTTCCATGTTACCAGATCACCACCCAAAACCAAATCTTCTCCCGTTCTTCTTCTTAACTTTGTCTTAAAGGCTGAACAAGGACAGGGGCTCACAGGAGACTCACCGAAGATGTAGAAGACCATGGGCCAGCCCAGGGCCTGGCAGATGAGCCCCGTCACACACAGGGCCACGGAGGGTCCCAGCATCAGCCCTGACCGGGGCACAGAGAACAGGCCTCGTGAGCGCCGGCGCCGGGACGTCAAGACAAGAGGCTCCTGGGAGCGGCGACCGCTCTCCGTGGAGTCACTCTGCACAGCACAACCCTGATCAGAAGCGAAGGAAAGCCCAGCGCATGGCTCCATGGTTGAGCGTTGACCTATGACCCAGGAGGTCAGGGTTCGATTCCCAGTCAGGGCACAGGCCCGGGTTCTGGGCTCAATCATCAGTAGGGGGCGCACAGGAGGCAGCCAATCCATGATTCTCTCTCATCATTGATGTTTCTCTCCTTCTCCCTTCTTCTCTGAAGTCAATAAAGCAGCGGTTCTCAACCTGTGGGTCGCGACCCTTTTGGGAGTCGAACGACCCTTTCACAGGGGTCGCCTAAGACCATCGGAAAACACATAGATAATTACATATTGTTTTTGTGATTAATCACTATGCTTTAATTATGTTCAATTTGTAACAATGAAAATCCATCCTGCATATCAGATATTTACATGACGATTCATAACAGTAGCAAAATTACAGTTATAAAGTAGCAACGAAAATAATTTTATGGTTGGGGGTCACCACAACATGAGGAGCTGTATTAAAGGGTCGCGGCATAGGAAGGTTGAGAACCACTGCAATAAAGGTATATTTAAAAAGGGAAAGAAAAGACTATTTGCCTCTCTCTCTCTCTCTCTCTCTCTCTCTCTCACACACACACACACACAGTAAGGACGCCAGGAGACAACCATGGGATGTGCGCATCCGGGCGGGAGCCGTTACCTGAGAGACTCAGAGAGGTCAGCCGGCCTCGTTCCTGCGGAGGCGCCCACTTGGTCCAGACCGTGTGCTGAGCCACCAGCACCGTCCCCTGCAACGAGAAGCAGAGGCGGGTCCTCGCCGACACTCGCGTGCGCTGGGGGCTGCTCAGGCTCCGCATCCTCACGTACCTGGCTGAGCCCCTGGGCCACGCGGCAGGCGATGACCGCGGACTCCCCGACCCCGGCCGCCAGCGGCGTGAGCAGGCTGAGCAGGGAGCTGAGGAGCAAGGCAGAGCCGACCATGTTCTTCACGGGGTAGATTCCGGACAGATACCCCACGGGCACTTGGGTGATGAGCATCCCGTACGTGACGGAGCTTAAGATGATGCCCTGGGTTTGGGGGCTCCAGTTGTACACGGGGTTCTGAAAGGGAGGAGGAGGCGCCGTCTCACTCCGCAAATCCGGTGCCAGGCCCAGGGATGGGCAGCCCCCGCCCCGGACACGGTTCCATAGGTGAGAACCGGCGAGGCAGGTGGAGACATGGGCTCGTGTCCTCGAGATGCTGTCGCACGGATCTCAGTAGCGTCCACTCTGTACACGGATGGTGAGCGAGGCCCGGCTGTCAACGCATGAGTGTGGACGACATTCCTACGTACCTTGACGTCGTCCAGGGGCTCCGGGGCGGAGGTGTTGGGCGAGCCCTGGGGGCCCGTGCCGTTCACCATGGCGACCATGGTGAGGCTGAGACAGGCGCGCTGGGACATCATGGAGACGTTGCAGAAATGCAGGAGGAGAGCCAGCCCGCAGCGGAGGGAACAGAAGCCGGACACTGGGAAGGAGAGCAGGACACACCCACGTTAACACAGCTGGGGCCACATACACACACACACACACACACACACACACACACACACACACAGGCTTCTCACTGTAGGCAGGGCCCCTCGGAAATCGGGGCCCCCAGGTGTTATTTTGAAATTGTATTGAGCCCGGTGGCCCCATAGGAAGGCGTGTGACTGATGTCATGACCCCACAGCCCCTAAGACATAATCCCATCTAGAATGTCCCGGAGAATTAAGTCCTCCAAGGACTTTGGCTCAGGTATATTTTACTTTTAAAAATATATACTTTTATTGATTTCAGAGAAGAGGGAGAGGGAGAGATAGAAACATCCACGATGAGAGAGGATCATGGATCAGCTGCCTCCTGCACGCCCCAGGGGGGATGGAGCGCCCTGACCGGACATCGAACCGTGACCTCCCGGTTCATGGGTCGACGCGCCATGGAGCTCAGACCCGTCACACGCTCTTACGGAAGCTCCCTCTCGCCTGGACCCGGGGTGCGTGCCCAAGAAGGAGAAGGCCGAGGGAGGGGTCAGGGAGCGCGTCTACCTCTCCTGGACCGGGACCCGTCGTCCATCTGCTTCACGGCGGTCCAGCTCCTGCTCCTCTCGCCGAAGGGTCTGCTCTCCGTCCTCTGCAAGTTCAAGGCGCACTGACGTCAGCAGGACCCAGGAGGAGCCGGCCCCACCCCTCCCCGCTCCCCTCTGATCTAAAGGACGCGTCAAAGGAAACAGGCTGTCACCGGTGCCCACGCAGTTCCACCCCGTGCTGCCTCTGACGCTGTATTTCTAAGGTTTTGTCGTCGTTGTTGTTGATTACAGGAAACCTGAACACTGTGGACGGCAAACTGAAAGCCCTGCTAATCCATGGTTTTATATCCAGTGGGAGTAACCCTCAAAAGTGAGAGACGTGAGGACCTTGTCAGACAGTCAGGAGCAAGGCCCCCACTGCCCACAGGGAGCCTCAGGGCGTTCTAGGCAGACGGATGCGGCTGAGGCCAGGAGCGCGGAGGCACCGGACGAAGGAGGAACATCGGGAAGAGAAATGCCTTTCTTCCCTTAGGTGTTGGCAGAGCTGCTGGCTCTCCTTGTGAGCGTCACCGCACCAGGCGAGCACCCGCTCTGCACCCCAACCCTGGACAGAGTGGCCGCTGGCCCAGGTCTGCATTCACGGACACACGCACACATACACACACACACATATACACACTCCCCTCACACACACGCACACATACACTCCCCCCCACACACACGCACACATACACACACACACTCCCCCCCACACACACGCACACATACACACACACACTCCCCCCCCCACACACGCACACATACACACACACACTCCCCCCCCCACACACGCACACATACACACACACTCCCCCCTCACACACACATACACACACATACTCCACACACACATACACACATACATACACTCCACACACACATACACTCCCCCCCCACACACACACACACATACACACACATACTCCATACACTTACACTCCACACATACAAATACATCTCAGTACCACACACAGGACATCCATGCATCTAGGTGTACCCACCACACATCCCAGTCACACACACACCCCACGCCCCCCCCCACGGACACGCTGATCCATACCCTCACCAGCACTCGGCTCAGTCACAAGCACCACACCCGCCACCACACATTCTCTTTCCGAGTCTAGCCACACAGCCACCCACTGCACACTCGTCCCTGATGCGTGTTCTTCCCTCTTTCCCTGGTGAAAACCTGTGAAAATAGATTTTCCCAGCAAACCGTCCCCAGATGGATTGGAAGTACCTTTCTGGGGTCGGTGACGGGGAGGCCCTTCCGGCCGGTTGCTCGGCTCACTCCATGGGCGGCAGGAGAGGAAGACGGGCCTGGCTCAGGACAGGAGGCCTCCTCCCTCCCCTGAGGGCTTCCTCCCAACTCTACGCCCTGCAAAGCCTTCACCCAATCCTTTGACCTCATGATGTCAAAGTTAAAAACTTAATTTTTAACTTCACGTTCACCTTTGCCTTGAATCTTCAGGGGAGGAATGTGGGCCTTAGAACCATCCATGGCCCGGCCGGCGTGGCTCCGTGGTTGACTGAGCACTGACCTATGAACCAGGAGGTCACAGTTCGATTTCCGGTCAGAACACATGCCCCGGGCGCAGGCTCCATCCCCAGGAGGGGGCGTGCAGGAGGCAGCCGCCCCATGATTCTCTCATCATTGATGCTTCTCTCTCTCTCCCCCTTCTCTGTAATCAATAAAAATGTATTTAAAAGTAAGATGTGAGCAGGACCTCGCAGGCGGCCAGCTGACTGCCCGGGAGGCTCCCCAGGCTTCCTGGGGCCGGAGTGTGAGCGTGGGAGTCTCCAGGGGGGAGGACAGAGTGCCCGGCAGTCAGGGCCTGGGCACCGTGAGCTGCCGGGAGTCCCGGGTGGGGGAGCGAAGGCTGAGATGAGAGGACAAGCGAGGGAGGTACACATCTGGGGAGAGGAGGGGTTCACGGGGAGCCAGCAGAACCCAGGGCAGCGGGAAATGTGAAACCCCAGTGGGCGAGGGAGGGGCCGTGGGGCGGTGACCCGAACTGCTGAGCCAGCGGCAGGCACTCGGTGCCCAGACTGATCCTGGAAAACACGTCAGCGAGAGGAGGAGGGCGGCCAGGCCCAGAGCAGGGAGTTTCTGTGGTAACGTCAACAGGAGGACCCGCCTTAGCAGGGGGCCAGGGTCCCTTCCAGCACCAGGCACTCTGGGGACCCAGGAGGCCTGGCCATGGGGGTCCAGGTGCAGAGTCCGGGCACCTCCGGGAAGGCTGGGTGTCGCTGCTGCGTTTAATCAGAGCCCGTGATCAGCTCATCACCGATTTTAGGGGAGAAGTGGGGCCGCCTGCAGGATGTTGGGGTCCAAGCCCCAGCAGGTCCAGGGGTTCCCCAAGGTGTGGACGGAGTCGGCGAAGAAGGAATGACACGGAGACAGCCTTCAGTTGATCAGCAGCCTAGCCAGGATCTCTAGCCAGGATCTCCAGTGAAGTTCTGGTCAGGATCTCCAGCGAAGTTCTTGCTCTAGGTTCTCTTGCCAAGTTCTGTAGTCAGGTTCTGTTCAGGTTCTCCAGCCAGGTTCTGTGTCCATGTTCTCTCGCTAGGTTCTCCAGCCAGGTTCTAGCCCGGATCTCCAGTCAGGTTCTCTAGCCATGTTCTCTCGCAAGGTTCTGTCTCTAGGTTCTGTCTCTAGGTTCTGTGTCCTGTTGTC